TCATCTGGAAACTCAGAGCTCACAATTATATAGATCTATATTTGCTATAATGCTTTCTTCTTTTTTTTGAGAATTTTTTGGTGACACATGTGGAATAAAGAGATTTTCATTAAATATTATAATTTAAAACTCAACAACTGAGTATCTGGTTGCTATAAGTGGTTCATTCAAATGTTTTGTTTTTAAATAAACATCCAGATTCACTTGAAAACTGAATCCGTCGTGTAGAAGCAGTTTTGCTGAAGAGCTCAGATTTTTTGTTTTGTTTTTACAACATCACTTTTCTGCAACTTTACATTTTTGAAGACTTTTTAAATGAGACCTGCAGAATGACGAGATTCTGATGAAATATTCTAATTTAAAGCTCACGTTGGGTTGTGTCTCCTGTTTGTTTCCTGATGGAGCTGCTCGTCCTCACCCAGAACCTGTAGAACCTCCGTCTGTTTGTTCTGTTTTTACGGTCGTTTGCTGAATTTGCCTGTTTTGGGGCTCAGAGGGTGAAAGGATTCACACATTTATATATATTAGTGGATTTCAGCTGCATGAACACAACAGTTGTCTTGTCTTACATTCCATCCTCCTCTGGTTTGTGTCAGTATCGTGTTGTTCTTGTCATCAGACTTGTGTCGGTGTTCTTCACTGTTCCTCGGTTTCTCCTCCTGCAGGAGACCCGGAGCGGCGAGGCTCGTCGGCGGCCGGCTGCGACAGCACCGGATCCCCGGTGCCCTTCGACCTCTCGTCCCTCGGCTCGTCGCTTCCCGTTCGTAAAACTCCCGAGTCCTTCCTGGGGCCCAACGCCGCCCTGGTGGACCTGGACTCTCTGGTGTCGTCCAAACCCAAACCCAAGCAGCCGCCGCCTCCTTCCATCTCCTCCTCGTCAGCGCACAACCCCTTCCTCCAGAACACAGGTCAGCCGACAGCCCGACCACAGATCGACGTATCCGCTCTTATCTAATTAAACGTCTGAGCTGCAGCACGTAGCCAGCGCCGCTAATCACGAGTTCTAACGGGTTCTGACTCTGCAGGCTAAACATGTGTTCACTCACATGTGTTTTAAACAACTCAGAGAACATGTAGGAGGCCATGAGGAACCTTTCAAAGCTTTAGAAAGAAAACCTGGGGTGAAGTGAAGCTTCTGGTGAAACCTACTGTTCAGGAAACGTCCTTAAAGATTCAGGCGAGTTAGGAGTGACGTCATCGACCCAAACCGGAGAAAGTAAATCACAGACGAGTAAAGACGCCGAATGAATGAGTTCATTGTTTGGATGTGAAATCACTAGAAAGCAGGACGAGTCTCATGACTGCTGGTGTTTCTGGAGCTGCAACAAACAGACAAGAAGGAAAAATCAAAGTAGGTTCAGATTAATGGCTTTAAAAAAG